TGCAGCTTAATGGTTCATTTAAGGGGACAACGGTTTCAGTTCCCTGAGCAGCTTGTTTGCAGATTTAGAAATATAATACTGCTATGAGACGGACTAGTACACTTGATACGTCGCGGGCACCCTCTTGCATTCACATAAATATGTTAAGAGAAGCCTTCTCAAACGATCTGTTCCCACGCCACATTTTCGATGCGTCCATACGCCGTGTGCGTGGTGATATCGCGCAGGCTGCCAACCATTGGTATGCTGACCTCTCAGGGACACTGGCTGATGACGGCTAATGAGCCGGAAATGGCCATTCAAGAATTTTAATTCGCTGGGCGACGGATTGTGGCAATGACTTCCTTCTGTCGAGTTCTCTGTTGATGACTGCTCCTCTTGCTTAAGCTGTCTCCCCCCACCCGCCTAAAATTTATTTTCTAATCGCCACCTGTTTACTAGGACTACCTGTTGGCACGCGCAAAACCTGACCGCTCTTGGGTCCTGTCTCCGGTCCTCCTGACTGATCAAGAGCCGACAGAGCTCGTGAAAATGTGCGTTCGGGCCCATTGTCTGGAAAAGTTGCCCCAGGAGGTGCCCTACGCCCTCTCATTCGTGGTCGACGACTGCGAGCGTGCTCGTCTGCCGGAGGACGTCGATGATCGTATGTACGTGCATGCCCGCATCCTCTGTCGCAATGAGCGCCAGCTGGTAAGTTCCGCAACTGCCTGTGCCTTCTCATCTCTTTCATTATTTCCTCGTTATATCTGACAGTCGGCTGTGAACTCATTCTTTTTGGGGTGGCTTTTCATTTCTTAAGTAGAGAAAAGGAGGGCTTGTCGCTCGCCAAACATACGGCTTTATTAGTCGGAGCTTTCGAACCCTTTTGTCGGATATAAAAGTGGCAACAAAAACAGGCAACAGTTATAGGGGGCAGGGGCTAATCAAACACCATTGACGCCAGTCCAGAGGCGACTGCGGTAACGAAGGTTGTACGGGTTGAACAATACAGGCGTGCAGGAGAAAAAATAATAGAATAGCTCGATGTCTACATGTCAACTGTCGCGCATCTACTACTCATATTCCTCCCCTCCCACCCTCTTTCCCCCCATTAGCGTTATGCGGTTGTCCCTACAATGTCTTAATTGACTGATTAATTTCAACGAGAAGTTGAATAGTGCTCTAATCATCATTATACCATATTTATTCTGTTGTATAC